AATCATATGGTGGTTTCGGGACGTTAAACGCCATATATAAATCAAGCCAGCATCTCGTATACGCTCGTGCCTTGCCGTGCTGCAACCTTTCACTTGTTGGGGCTTTTAACCTCCAAAAACCACGGTATGGCCAGAAAGGACGCCGTGTAGTCAAGGGACTCCACAAATGTTTGGCCACCCGAGGGTCTTCACCGAGCATGTGGACTTCGGGAATTCAGACCTCCGTCGAAAATGCGGCGCCTCGCGGCCTTTATTCGAACCCGCGACCTCTAGGTCGGCAGTCGAGCACGATGCAACGTGGTGGCTGAACACTTCACCTCTTTTGTGTTCGTTAACAAGCGGAATTGGGTTTTGCTGTGTATATCAATTTTTCATCTCAGGACACTCTGCGGACCTAATCGGTAGGTAAGCATCTAATCTAATGTACACCGTAAAATACCGAGCAAGTTCCCCTTTCCCTTTCTTTTTTCGCCATTAGAGATATGGATAAGTGCCAATGACAGAGCAAGTTATCCGCTCTCCCCTCCGACCACGTTCACTCTTACATTCACTATTTTGAAACATTAAATACGTTCGCATTTAGTGAAGCATTTGATTCATAAGAACCACGGGCGTGTATTTTTTTATTCTTAGTGATTCATCCTCCGCCGTCATGAATTATTGCTCCACGATCGAGCAAAGGGGCCTTTCCTCCACGATCTTGTATTATATTTCACCGCAGGGAGGGCGCTTGTTCGTAATCTTACGACAGGTTTTATTCTTATTCGAGAGGAAGTATACTTACAGCTATAGCTTGCCGCCTTCTGAGAACACTTATAACGCGCGTAACGATATGCGTCGTGAGAAACTTCTGTGCCGCAGGATGGCGCTAGAGGAAGGGGATATGCTGGTTCCACTTCGCCACCTAAAATGTTAAGGCGGCGAAGTGGAGCTGCTCAACATTTGTTGAACTTCGTCTTGCGACGATGCGGCTCCGAACCACATGGAGCCAAATGTAGTCGAAATAAGGAAGCTTGAACGAATCCGCGTACTATATTATACAGGTTGCCCACATAAGTTGATCCAAGAATTTCGAGGAGGAGGAGGAGTAAGAAGAAGAAGAAGAAGAAGAAGAAGAAGAAGAAGAAGAAGAAGAAGAAGAAGAAGAAGAAGAAGAAGAAGAAGAAGAAGAAGAAGAAGAAGAAGAAGAAGAAGAAGAAGAAGAAAGTTTAAGCGGAAAGACAGCGAGGTTAGCCAGTTCTTAGACCGGCTGGCTACCCTGTGCTGGGGAAAGGGGTGAGGGGAATAAAAGATGTTAAATAGAAATGTTGCAAAGAGAGAGAGAAATTACAAAAAACAATTGCGACAGAGGAAAGGCAACATCAAAGAGTATAAGACACTGAGGAGTGTCTCTGAGGCCAGTTGTCCGCAAAAAGCGCAGCAAAGCTTTCAAAGCCTTCTGGGCTGAGAATGGGCTCGGCCAATGACCCAGAATCCTTTGTAAAGTGAAATGCACTTAGGAGGCGAATTGAACCAAACGCTGAATACCGTACTCGGACTTAATATGTGGCAGCTGTTGTCAACTGCGCTGGCTATATATGTCGTGTTCTCGCGAAACACAATGTCAGTCGTTTCGCACTGTTCGTTGCTTCGCATGTGTACATCTGGTGTGTTTGTTGGGGGGGGGGGGGGGGTTAATTTACGCGAACCGCGCCTAGATGAGTGTTCTTGCCCGCGTTTCACGAGTGCCTTGTGCCTTTCGTTCCGATAACTCGTAGACGCCCGAGGGGATTTATCGAAGCTGCTCGCACACTAGGCCAAGGTACGTGGGTACTTATTTTGTCGTATAGAGCGTGCAAGTCGGGTTTTACACACGCTGCGATGAAATAAGCGTTTCAGAGTAGTCATATCGGTAAATACTAAACGGCGAACTAAAGTGATGACGAAAACAACAACAACAACAACAACAACAACAACAACAACAACAACAACAATAATAATAATAATAATAATAATAATAACAATAACGACAATAACAATAATAACATGCCACATTTTTAAAGATGCAAGTCATTTTCTCTTTTGGTTATAATTATAATCTCTTCGAAGAGTCGTATGCAGGCGTTAACCTCGAAAAAGTTAAGGCTGTAACTGTCTTTAAAGGGGTAAGACTGTAATATCGGTGGTCCTGCGCGCCAAAACCAGGATATCACTATTGGGCACGCCGCAGCGGAGGGCTTCTGAAGGTTTGACCTCCAGTTGCTTTCTAACATGCACTAACGACTCGCAGAACACGGGCATCTCCCATTTCGCCTCAGAACTACTCAACACTTGCTGAACTATACGTCTCGCGACAAAGCGGCTCCGCACAACGCGGAGCCAGACGGAGTCGAAATAAGGAAGCTCGTACGAATCCGCATACTATACTACTACTACTAACCCGAATTCCCATGACGGCTGAAGCGTCACGCGTTGCATTTCCCATAGACAATAGCGCCAAAGTTCAGTACAGCGTACTATTTACGAAACTCCGCTTGCTCCGCGACAGACGATCGACATTGGTTAGGCGTTGCGGCACCCGTTTATCATCGCGGGCGGACCGGCTTTCGCCGGTTGCCGCCGTCGCGCGCCGCTGCGCTCGCATTGCACATCACGCGGACGTATACGAGAGGCGTTCGGGTTTCGTTGGTGTCGTGTGTTTCCTTTTGTTCTCGCGGGCGTCGCGTTCGTCGATGCGCTGGCAGTAGCGGTCGGGGAGAGAGGGAAAGGATTACGACGCGTTCGTGAGATTGCGTGCTAGCGTTGCGCGATTGTTTGCGATAGTCCGCAATGAATGGGAGCGTACGTAGTACAGCCTTGCTATAGACGATCGAGCCGTTCGCACTTCCTTTGTGTGTTCTTGCTGGTTCTCGCTGGTTCTCGCCTTGCGCGCGTATTCGCGTTTCCCGTTCGGTTGCGCTGCCGGGGTCGTTTGCTACGCTCCACGTGCGTTTACGTTCGATTGTTTTGTTTATTCGTTTCTCGTTCTTTTGTTTGCTTTTTTTGTTCTTGTTCTTGTCCGACGCATCTTCGTCTCATTGTTCCGCTCCACTCCGGCAGTTCATCGCTGTCAACTTTTCCGTCCGTCCGGCATTTTGTTTTACCTTAGTTTCGCCTTTTTTTATTTTTTGTTCGCACGATCCTGCCGAGATCGTTCGTTATCCTGTCGTCTGTTCGTGGTCGTCGGCGTCCTATTCCAGACGAGATATGCTGTATAAACCATAGAGTTTCCCACAATACTAACTAGAGGGAATTCTGGCGCTAGTGTCTGTGGGAGCTGCAACGCACGGCACTTCAACGAGCATGGGAATGATGGGTAGTACACACATTTGTTTAATTTTCGTACTTTTGGCCTGCTTCTGGCTCCGTGTGTGCTTGTGTGGCTTGGAGCTGTTTTTTTTTTTTTTCACGAAAACATAAATTAGCAAATGTTCACCGTTTGCGCTTCACAACCTTATTCTTTTAAGCTTATCATTTCGAATAAAGTCCCTAAGTTCAAAAGGGTTTGTTTTTTTCTTTCAAAACAAAACTGAAACACAGCAATAAACGAAGCCGCAAGTACGATTCGCCGCCCGCAAGTACGAAGACTAGGCAAATGTGTGTACTACCCATCATTCCCGTGGTCGCTGAACGATCGCAGCGCCAGAGTGCCTTCTAGATAATTTTGCGAAACTCCATGGTATAAACCGTATAGAGTGACTTTGTGGGTTCCTTATATATCGTCTTTTTACATCATTTTCGTGGCGCCATCTATGAGTGGCAGCCCTGCCATAAAATGACGGAAAAAAGGCGATCATTGTGTCTCTATATATGAAGAAAAGAACTATGAATTAAGATCAACTGCTGATTAAAACAGTCGAGATGCTCTGAAAAATTTTGCTTAAGTTCAAGTCGCGTCAGGAGAGGTACGAAGATTCTCAGAATATGAAACCCCCCGGGCAGAACTTGTGGGGAGGTTTTATTCGCTTGAGGACGTCAAGGTAGTTTAAGGCGTGTGTCTCACGATGCCTGGCCATTAAGGGTAACTAACTGGTTCCCAGAGAAGGGAAGCGGGTTAGGGGGAGGCAGAAGGTTAGGTGGGCAGATGAGATTAAGAAGTTTGCGGGTATAAATTGGCAGCAGCAAGCACAGGACCGGGTTAACTGGCGGAACATGGGAGAGGCATTTGTCCTGCAGTGGACGTAGTGAGGCTGATGATGATGATGATGATGATTATGATGATGATGATGTCTCACAATGCAGCTGGTTACTACTTGCGCACTGTCCAGGTCCAAATTCACAATACTGCTATGTCGTTTGCGACTTAGAAGTGTGTCAGCGTGGGCTAGTTGGTATGGCATGACGATAGTGATAGCGCGAGAACAAAACGACGACACAGAGACAAGAAGGGCACAAGAAGTGTCTTTCGTATCCTTCTTGTCTCTGTGTCGTCGTTTTGTTCTCGCGCTATAACTATCGTCGTTTGCGAGTTTTACCGTTAGCCAACCGGCTTTGTTAATCATATGTGCCGTACTTTCACTTGCCAAAATATTCCCTTACGAAAATGTTTAGCCTGATCGAGGTACTTCTGGGAATACGAGCCCTGGTCCTCAATAGTGTAACTTTTATGTTGGAATGATTTAAGGAGATTTTTTTTTGCGCACAAATAAAGCGCCCGTTGCTCCTTAGCTCTTAGATTTATCAAACATTGGACATAAAGAATCCGAAATTCACGAATAACACAAATCCGCAGAACATGCAATGACTTGAAGTATATTATGGCCGTGGGACCTCTTGAAATTCTCCTTCTTTATATTAAGTGGCTACGATCGAAGTTTCTGATTGGTATTACCTAATGCAGTACCATTGGTAGCTGGTTCTCGCCTTCAAGTTCTATAATGAGTGCAAAGTGGTGTCGAACTTTTTCCCTCTCTCCCGCTCTCTCTTTTCGATTTTCCATTCGTGGTTCTTATACGTAGACTCTCTTCCCTCTTCTGCAACAGCACCCGTCTCCAAGTCCGAGGACCTGCTGGAGGCGTACCGGGCGTCATGTCACAAGCACGGCGTGGAACCACTCACTAGGCTAGTGCAGCAGCTACAGGTCAGTGTTTAGTTTCGCAACGCCGCTTTAAAAAAATAGAAAAATAAAAATAACATCGTGTTTCACTAGAGCAACAGTTGATTGCGTTTGCCGTTTATGTCATCTCTTCGACTAAAGGAGAAGGAAAGAGGCGGAAAGACAGAGACATTAGCGAGTTCGGAACAACACAGAGCTTAGCCGATTGGTACGTATTCGTTCCAATAAATCAAACCAAAATCAAATCATTTTTATTTTCCCATGAAAGAACAGGTTGTGGAAAGGATAATGGGCTCAAAGCTGTTTATGGACAGCTTGGCATGTGGGAGGATGACAAAGATGTATATAACAATAAAGACAGTAAGCTAACATTACAACACCAAATACGGTGTAAGAAAAACATATATAGATACATTGCTGCGAAATAAACTGGGCGTGCAAACTCAGACATGACCAAGAAGTTACGGCCCTATGTGGTGTGGTCAATTCTTTCTGGTGACCGCGTGCGCACGTCCTGCCTTCAAGACAGAGTGTTTGTCCAGTTCTTGGACTGGTGCTGGGGAATAAGGAACTCTGCGCTGCTAAAAGGGAATGTCAGAGAATAAAAAAAAAGAAGGTGTTGAAGAAAATGCAAGAAGGGAAGTAAAGTAAATAACAGTGCTGTCTATAGTGTTTTGGTGAGCGCGAAGGCAACAGCGCTTTCGGCTTGTCCTGTGCTCGAAAAGGGCCGGTCCCGAAACACTGGCCAACTCACGAACGAAATTTTTCCGTGGGCTACCGTTGTTGCTACCTGTTGTTGCGTGCTATAGCGAGATCCGCATGTGATTTCGCCCGTCTAACCGAAACCGCGTCATTGTGGCGTGCTGCATTTGTAGAATATATATCTGTAGCATCACGCAACTCTCGGTGAATGGTGAGTTTTGGGCAAGGTCATTACGAGGCTAATTGACATGTTCAGGACATGTTCCATGACAGATCCTGCACACGCCCAGTGTATTTTGCCGTGCGATGCCATTTGTAACCTGCGATGCCATTTTCCACTTGTACACTGGTCTGTAGTTGCAATGAACGACAAGAAGTTTAGCGATAGTTGGTAAGGGTTCATCGTAAAACAAGGTAAGACGCGCAAACACAGACACAAAGTAATATATTTAATAACATGATAACTTCTGGTTATTTAGGTCCCACAACCGCAATATGACTACGAGAGACGCCGTATAGTTGAGAACTCCAGGAATTTTAACCACCTGGGGCTCGTTGAAATTTGAGGTACTGACGGTGTCAAGTTTAACCCTAACAGCTACGAGCCTTCGTGATGGTATAGTGCGCGCGTTCCACTTGTCACCATGCACAGGCACGCATGCATGCTCACATCTGCCAAACAGGCGCGCGCCTGTCAATCGAGATGACTTAATGGCGCGCACTATACCATCGCGAAGGCTTGGTGCTGTTCGGGTTTCATTTGACGCAGATAGTACCGTGCTCGGCTCGGCTGTCTATAACGACGGAGCGTCGCGCGCGGCATAGAGTTTCCCACAATACTAACTAGAGGGAACTCTGGCGCTAGTGTCTGTGGGAGCTGCAACGCGCGGCACTTCAGCGAGCATGGGAATGATGGGTAGTACACACATTTGTCTAATTTTCGTCAACTTTGAGAAACTCTATGGCGCGCGGTACAGCACGAGCGACATCTGCAGTCGCAAATACGCCACATCTGAGCATGCGCGGCGCCAATGATGTGCCTGCCTTGCAGTTTCCACCCTTATTTATCTCCGAGGCCGCGATGACTGCTGTGGCCGTCGAAGCGCTGTAAACATTACAAAATCGAAATAAAACGACAAAGAGGAAATAATCGCGCTTCGTGGTATCACATCACAGCGACAACGGTTTTACTTCGTCTTTCTTTCTTGTTTTTTCGCGAAATCGCTTAGAGCGCTTTCGACGGCCAAAGCGGTTGTTGCATCCGCGGCGATAAATGGGGATCAGTATTGCGAGGCACGCACATCACAGGCGCCGCGCGCGCTCAGATGTGGCGTATTTGCGACTGCAGATGTCGCCCGTGCTGTTCCGCGCGCGACTCTCCGTCGTTATAGACAGCCGAGTTGAGCACTGTATATGGTGCGCCAGCATTTCGCCTTCGTCGAAAGGGTGTTGGCGCGTCCGGAATCCGATCCCGGGACCTTCAGGTCAGCAGTTTACTGCCATAACCACCAAACCAGCCTGGCTGTTCGTACACAAGAGAACAACACAACACTATAGTGCGCATCGCGTTGGTGTTTTTGTTGCGTTGCTTTGCTGTCCGTGTTTTTTGCACGTCTTACTTTATTTTACGATTGCCAGTCACGCTGGCATGTCTTTCTATTTCCCCACTGAATCCAACTGAAAGCGTCCCGTTCTTTCCCGGAGTCTGCGGAATCTCGAAGAGGTAGTGTGGAAGTATACTTTCGCGCCGAAAGGAAGTTGCAACAGTATGTGGCTGTGCGGGTTTTTTTTTTCACATAGTGTGCCACCTTACACAACGCGAATCCCACTCGTTGTTCACGCCGCGGCTAAGCAACATCGCGGATAACGTTTTTCACTGCGTACACGAACACAAAGGACTGCCGCTTCGGCGGTTGCGATCCAATCAGACCACCTACGCCCGCGCGCCGCATCGAAGAGGAAGACCTTTTGCTTTCTTCTCGGCAGCGGCGTCTCGTCCAGATAATAGAGACAGGAGGATGTCACGGGAACGCGTTCTGTTATGGGCGAAGCACCTTATGAGACCGTGCAATGTCTCTCCGTACATTAACCGCCTCCAGGCGCCTACAGCAGATGTAGAAACGGAAACAAAAAATTATCAAAAAGCCGTTAACCAGAACAAATAATATAAAAGGCAACAAGACCGCATAAACACCGACTTTCAGCTAACCACCAATGAAAGTGTAGGGCAGAAGAAAACGTTTAACAAGAACCAAACAAAAGGCTGTTAACCAAAACAAAATAGAAGGCGACGATTCTCGATATCATGCACGCGGCTTCACCCTACTGCCGGTATGAACTATCTTTATCGAGCTACTATATCTTCACTGTGAAAATTCGGCATGGGATGGTCTAGCCCCTCCGTTTTTTTAGGATTTGAGGTGCAAGGGACGGCTTTGTGGTCTCCCATAGTAGAGTACCAGGTACTGTAAATCGTTTACTACTTTCTTTCTAAACATCCATCTCTCTCTTGTCAATATGGTGGGTAGTATCAGAGAAAGAAGCGAAGAAGAACTGGTGAAATATTGCATTGGGTCGTCGGGCTATGGCAACGTTGATTCGCGTCCGAGCGATGTTCTGCGCGTGGGAGCCGCACGGTTCTCTGGTGACAAAGCAACTCTCGGAAAGGGCATTTATCGCAACATTCCGCGTGATATCAACAGAGCGGAGTATATATAGGACGGACCAAGGATCCTGCGTGAGTGCCCAGATATGACACCTCGCCTTCGGTTATCTCACCTCTCCTTCGGTTAGTGACCGCAAGCATTTCGTCGCGGTGGGAATGGTGTCTCGGTATACATTCGCTGGAACAATCGAAAGTGTTCTCATTCATTCATTCGACGAATTCAGTATTTCTTTCTTAGTTATGATAAGTTGTATTTATTTGACTCACTTCTTCCGAATCAGTACGAGTACGTGTCGTCAGCTTTAATTTCGAGTTTAAGCGAAACGAGCCGCTCTCGATTGCGTGGGAGTCGGGACGGAAGAGCGAGAACACGACTGTATACTCATTTCAGAACATGCGTGGGTGGGCTGGTTGAAAAACGAAGCAATTTTTTTTAATATACAAAGGAGTAGAACTACAGGCGAAGGAAGACTAGTAGGCACTTAACGTGCCTACACGTGTTCGAATCAAATTTGCATAACTGTAAAGCCATCGGTGATTGAGTAAATCTACTGTTTGCCCATCTCGCCCACGCTATTTCGTTTCGCTTTTTTTTGCTTTTTTTACTGCGTCATTGATGGCGCATACCCTCGGAAGCTAGAGTAGTGACCTTTTCGTTTTACGAAACTACCTACGAGGAGTATATATATATATATATATATATATATATATATATATATATATATATTCTCGCAACGCGTGGTCGTTTGGAGCTTTTAGCTTTTCTGCGCGAATCCACTAAGGCTGATACACTCTCGAGATTAGACTTCAGGTATATACGGACTGACTTTTCAAAAAAAAAAAAGCCTCTCTAGAGAAGGTCAACGTCTCAGCGCAAATGCCGCTTTGATTTTACCGACAAGCCCGTCGAAAAAGAAGGAAAAAAAAAGGAAAAAAAACATCGGGTCTCGAAGCGTGGAAATGACACTCATGTTCTCTTTTGCTGACTGTGCATGTCCCAGAGACTGTATACTGTTGCGAATACCTTCATTTGTGAATTGATTTTCAGAATGTATTATCAGATGGCTATAAAGCGCGCCCCTTGTCAAGAAGCACTGCTGTGATTGCCCAAGTGTACTGGCACCAACGAAGTTTCAGAAATGTCACGCAGCGGTGGTCTAGTGGCTAAGGTACTCGGCTGCTGATCCGCAGGTCCCGGGATCGAATCCCGGCTGCGGCGGCTGCATTTTTGATGGAGGCGAACATGCTGTGGGCCCCTGTGCTCAGATTTGGGTGCACGTTAAGGAATCCCAGGTGGTCGAAATTTCTGGAGCGTTCCATTACGGCGTCTCTCATAATCACAGGGTGGTTTTGGGACGTTAAACCCCAGATATGAATCAATGTTTGAGAAATTTGCGTTTAGTGAATGCTGCAATTTAGTTAGGAAATCTAAGTGCAAACCGTTTTTATTCCCTTCAGCGGCGGTGGCCACTTTTGTGTGCGGTATTTGCTTATGGCAGCATTGCCAGCTTGGAGCCAAAAGAGAAGAAATTATTCATTACATGAAAACAATCGTCGACGTATGACCGTATCCGATAACTTTGGTGAAGCTGTGTCCGATCTCTCGTTTTACGTGCCACCATCCCAAACCAAGGTCAAAAGTATTACTTTTATTTTC